GACATCCCAAGACACGATGACCATAAGTCTACCTGGTTGTGAAGGTAGTCGACTAAACAGGCCCAAAGATCCCCGGTCAACAATTTGTAAATTGCATCATCCGCGGGAACCTCAGTAGCACTTAGGCCAAATGAACGAAACTCTATCTTATGACTATCGGATGGAGTTCCAAGAGGTAGAACTTATACTCGACGAAGTGGCAAAGATGTCACTGGAAAGGAAGAGAAAGGAAGTTTCAGCTACAAAGTTAGAAATACTCCCAACAAAGGACTTACACCCTGTTTGGGTCGTAAAAAGTCATTAACGACCTATGTGCACTAGACGATCACATAAGTCGTAATCTATGTTGGGTCAGTCGGGTTGAAGAGGCACGAGGACTCATCCTCGGAACTTGCAAACGATGCAATTATCTATCCCTAAGTGTGGATGTCCTATTAATTGTGACTTGGGATATGATCATGCATGCAACACATTTTAAAATAGGTCTGAAGGTCATGTAGAAAAATAATAGCAGGTTTTAAAGAACCTGAAACTTTTATTGCTAAATTTTAATTCATTTTGAAATTTAATTAGGATTTTGTAGAAAATTGATAAAATTTTAGGTCTTAAAGAGCCTAAATTGTAGCGTAAGGTTCCCAGACAAACCACAATCAAATAACGGGAAAGCCAATCCAAGCATACAAGCATGCAAGAAAGACAGTAAAACAAGTTTAATATAAAATAAAAAAAAGTTGGTGTCGCTTAGTCGATGACATGCCCCGAAAAAGAAAAAGGTGGTCAGATACCGCAAAAATACACACTTGGTTCTAACTCTAAACATAAATGAAATTTAGAATTAAGACACATGACACAAACAAACAACTAAGTTATGGGATCTTGATCGGGGACCGTCTTCATTCCCCCACAATTCGTTGTAAGCTTTAAGTGGTGAATTCTACAATTTAAATCCAAAGTCTGCTGCTATTATTTGTTGAATGCTCAATTCTTAATGACTAGCCTTAATCAAAAGTGCTCTTTTGTTGCTGGGAGGAGTAATTAACCATAGAGACTTGCACTTACGAGAAACCTCGAACCCCATATCAAAAAATTTGTGGGTAGTGTTTTATCTACAATTTAATATGCTTTCTAAAAATTTGACCCTTTAAAACTCTCTCTCAAAACAACATAAAAAAATGCAAAGAGTCTCTTGAGAAGCGGTCGTTTAATTTTCGGAGCTCACATGGAGTCTCCATAATGCTAAACAATGAGCTTAGCTTCATAGAATACCTTAGCAGGACTACGAAATCACATTTTGATTTACATTTCATGGTGCCAATGATGCCATGGAATTGGTAAAGAGGTTGAACTCCCCCAATTATATGTTGAATACTCAATTCTTAATGACTGACCTTAATTAAAAGTGCTCTCCCGTTGTCAGAAGGGGAATTAACCATAGGGGTTTGCGCCAATGAAAAACCTCAAACCTCAGATAAAAAATTCATCGCTAAATGAGGGTAAAATCTCTTGGTAATGTCTTATCTAAAATTTAATCTACCTTCTAAAAATTCGACCCTTCAAAGCTCTCTCTTAAAATAACATAAAAAAATAAATGCAGAGTCTTTTGAGGAGAGTAGTTGATTAATTTTCGAAGCCCATAGGGAATCTGCATAACACTAAACAATGAGCTTAGCTTCATAGAATACATCAGCAGGACTACGAAATCACATCTTCATTCATATTTCATGGTGCCAATGCTGCCATGGAATCGTTAAAGAGGCTGATCTCCCCCAATTATATATGCTCTCACTGCATGTGCTGCCCAATTCAGGAGCACACCACCATGTGCTAAGAAGTAACTTTTTTTTGCTTATTTAAAAGCTACATCGACCAATCACAGCTCAGTGGCTCTCCACTCCCGCTACTCCATGCCTCCATGAGGCAACAAGTGTACCTCTATAAGACCAAGACAGAGGCTTGGGTTCTGTCAGTTTGAGTGTGCGTTTATCCACATAAAATATGCCTGCTTGTGACACTAAAATGTTCTTCTCTTTTTCAATTTAGAATTTCAGAAGTAGCATGTGAAGGGACATTAGGCCTATGGGGTGACAAGCAATAAAAATCATGAAGCCATGAGATATCAACACCACAAAGATTCTATCAAAATCCTATTTTAATAATACTCATTCATAAGTTTTATATATGTAAAAGCATCACCAGATCCTAGTCTAGCCCTCCTAGCTTCCTTCTAACAGAAAAACTATGCTTTGAGAGACTGTAAGGCCTTTCTTTCCGTAAAAAATGTGACTGAAATGCTCAATGATTGTTAAGTCGATTGAGCCCTTTACCATCAATAATATGAGCCATCCAATGAATTTGTTTATTGAAACTTAGCACCAATGATGATCTGATAGCACTGGACTTCCAACTTTAGTTAAGGTGCAGGCCCTTTCTAGTGCTCCTAGTGGAATCCAACTCCTCACTCAACCATATAGATTCCCCCATCACTGCAAGTGGTGGTCTCTATCTCTCACTCTCTTTCATGTCCTTACTAGGAAGGATGTCAGCAACTTTTCTATAAAAAGAGAAAAATGGCATTTCATAATGGTGACAGACGCCACTCTTACTACTTTTATGTAGGATTGAATGAGATACAAGGTGGCCAATGGAGTAGTAGCTTAAATTATCAAATAGAGTTAACAATGTAGCTATTCAATTAGTCTGGGAAAGAAAGAAGATGGAGACTTGACTTCATCGCCTTCTTCTGCCAGCAATAATAAATCTTGTATGGTTCAAATAATTTTAACCACCCATGCCTTGAATGCACTTTAATTGATGACAGCTAACTGTAGCGTAGCTGTTGGGCAAAAGCTGATTTTCAGAGCGGGCTGCATTTCATTAATGATGCAGTGTGTTGTGATTTTAATTTTAAAGCTGTTCTTAATGTTGTTTCGGTTGAATTTCTGCCACTCTGGTAGAGCCTAGAAGTCATCAATCAAAATAAACCTGCTTTGTTTTTTAAGAGCAGGAAATATAATTAAATATACAAAGTAAAATCACTATGAAAAAATATTTATTTACTCCTGCTTTTGGGGATGGCTGTTATGTTTGCTGCAAAATGAATGTAAGCAAAATGCAGAAAATCTTATGCTGTGTGTTTGGTGTGCCGCAGAAGTGCTACATTTACTACACATTAATACTTGCTTCTTTATTCCTTTCGTTCTCAAATCAGTAAAGCGTTTGCTGCTAACCAAAAAGCCTTTTAGAAACATATGCAAAAGAAGTAAAAAGATTGAGTGCTCAAATTGCGTTCTCACTTTTATTGTTTACATGATAATGCCAACTTATTCTACGATCATGAAATTTTAATGAGAATATTGTAAACTAATAATTTGCAGGTTAGCTATAATCAAATTTTATATAAGAATTAATCAAGTCAATAAAGTACAATCATCAAAGATTAATTCAAAATCTCAATGCACTAGTATAAGAGCCAAAACAACTTCATGATTATGTTTTTTCTTGTCTTTAAATTTATCATTTGTAAACCATTCATAATTAACTTTATGATTATCAACATAACAAATAATGTATTCTCATCAAATATCAACTCGAAGTCTCAATTCTCCGAGTAACATAAGAGAAATCAGAGTATCAAGCATGATTGTATACTATCATTTTTTTTATTGGGCATTTACATACATAGCACTCAAATCTTATGTACTTACATATCTTACACCTAGAATTTCAAATTTACACGCGTAGCACTCAATCTTTATTATCACATCAAATGAAATATTATTACCACTTTTTAGAAGCGAAACAAACCTTTCATGCAAGGGTTTAATGCGCCAAAGTGATACGAAGGTAAATAGAAAAGTTTTAGGCGTGAAATATGTAGATACATAGGAATTGTGTCCTATATATGTAAAATTCCCCTCTTTTTTTTAATTTGCAGAATGCGACTAATGGTATTGATTCTTGGTGAAGCTGCACAAAGAAACAATCAATGCTCTTTAGTATGGAAAAGGCCCCTCTAAATGTTAGGGCTAAGGTACCTGAAAGCAACTTCAGATTTTTCCATAAAGAAAGACCTGATCCTATGTAATAGAACCTGAAAAACCACCTGAATACGGTATGCAACTCCATGATTGATGGGATCCAATATCTTAAACTGCCATGTATTTCTTGGGGTTAAAATATGTTTCAAAGTGTATCAAATAAGATATAAAACAAAAAGTCAACTTGTTTTGGCGCTGATGCCATGATTTAAAGGCATCTAACTAGAATAAAGTCTTCTTCTGAAAAAAAATTAAAAAATAAAAAATCTACTACTTTTAGGCTGTATTCTAATTGAATGTTGCAATATAGCTGCTATGATAATGGTGCCCATCATAAACTATCAATCTTATAATAAGGAAGAAATAGTCATACTTAACGGTCCATTCTTTATCTAGTATCACTCTCCCGCTCAGAAATCTACCTTTTGTGCAGGGAAAAAAGCCAGCTCATCCTGATCAAGACCAATGGCCGTGCTTTTATATCAATTATCAGTAAACATAGGTGCTGCTGCTGTGGTCAAACCTTGCTAAAAAGACAAAGAAGTACAGCTCATAGAACAGTGAGCATTTGCATGGCATTAGTAAGGGAAAATAATTAATTATAATAGACTTCACGTACCGTCCTACCTGCCCATAAACAAAATAAATGGAGTATGGTTGCGAGAAACCTATTTCAGATTAACACTTTTTTAATAAGCATCCTTAAATATTTTCTGAGCACCAAAACTTTCATATACAACCCTCATAATTGCCCAAATGGCCAAATCACATTACCATAATTTCAACGGAACCCAACCTATCAAACTTGGAATTCACAATAGTGATACCAAGCTTTAAAGGTAGGAGACCAAAAAAGTTTGCCCCAAATTTAAGATAGAAACATCTATCTTATTCTACATAATTGTATGATAATATATGGTTAAAAATTTCATTCTATGCATAAAAAAAGATCCATAACCAGAGAACCAAAAGAACAATTGCTATTACTTACTTTTTCATTGTACATGGAAATAATTACAAATACTTAGCTCCTTGTGGAGGGGGCAAGAAAGCTAGCTTACAATGCTTTGATGCCCAACAAAGATCCAAAAGGTAGAGGGAAGGGAGGAAAGAAAAAAAAGAAGTACAAAAGGTTTCATTTTTCTTCCTTCCAAGACGAAATACATGCATTTTGCTCACCAAGAAATCCCATGGTTGCCTTTCATGGGTGGTGTAGGGCACATATTTTATCTAATCTAAACCGTTGTACAAGACTTCAAGGTAAGCCTCTTCCACACCACTAGCCGTTGCAAGAATTCCATAACCTTAGAAATTATTTCAAAGAATAAAAAAATCAGCGGCTTGGTATTGTCAAAGCAAACGCAGAAGCTTACATAACAGTAGCCATCATGTGGCCCTAGTGATGGAATGTGCCATAAACAAAATATATCCTGATGTACTCAAAATATCAAAAAGCAGAGACATTTGGTGTTGATTTAACTTACCTCAGATGGCTCTTGGAGAGAATAAGAGGCGCTTGTCTCCTTAGGAATTTTAGAAACCAGTATACCAAAGCCTTGCCCTCTATTTCTCAACACCTGAGTCACTTTAGCATATTATTGCTAAAAACACTTATTTATTCCAACGACACTGGCTCTTAAAACCCAAACGTAAGAAAGCCATGTCAACACTCAAGGACGAGAAGTTTGAGCAAACTCTGACCATTTTGATAACAAAATAACAATCTTGCTTACCTTGAAAGCATCTTCGTCTGTGAGATCATCACCAATATAAACAGGAAACACGTCCTTGCAGTCCGCGAATCCTGCGAAGAAACGTCATAACATAATAAGCTTTTGATGAAGTAAAAAAATTTTGTTGGAATTAATTTCACCGACATAAAATCTATGCTTGACAAAAACAAGCAATACTAAGAAAACGACTTGATGTAATGTGTCTAAAAGCAGTTTTAAAACTTACCAAGAGACTCCAACAAGAACTCCATGGCCCTCCCTTTGTCCCATTTAATAATGGGGCGAATCTCTAGCACCTGAAAGCCAAGAAGTCACATTCATGCTTTGAAAGCAAGCAACAAAAACAAAATTATCTATGGAAAACTTTAACAAGTGGCTTGAAGCTCCAAAAGTTAGACCTTTCTTCCCGCAGTTAGCCGCAGCTTTGGGTACTCTTTCATCACTGATTTCACGAGATCGGCTAAAGCTCTCCATCTCTAAGAAAGAAAAAAAAAACTCATCTATCAAAAAGAAAGAAAATGGGGGAAAAAAATAATAACACAGAACTATAATATGATTTAGTACCTTTTCATCCACACATCTAAAGTGGACCGACACGCAGAACTTGTTGTTCTCCACTTTGGCCCCAGGGGTAGATTTGGTCGCTTCCAGCAAGGTTCTATAAAGCTTTATAAGATCATTACATAGAGGCCTTTCAATATACAGTCACAAATTCCATGAAATATTGTTGGCTGCAATAAAGTAAAAACTTCAATAAGCCATAAATCACACCTTATCTATCATCGGGAAGAACTTACTAGCTGGTTGAAACAGAACGGCTTTTCCCTGAACCAAGAGGAAAAAAAAAAACACAAAAATACATAAATATAAACTCTAAGAAAATTTCTTTTTGGAAGCATACAAAAAAAAAAAGTTTCCACCTTTTTTTATTATACATAAAATTTAACTTAATTTTTAACGAGCAATGAGAAACCAGAAAACACTAACGTTAGCTTTCTTGAAACTGGGACCCTTAGCTGGAACTTTGATGTCCATGCCATGGCTACCAGCATAGTACAGCTCTGCCAATCTCACAAAGTTGTAGACCTACTCACCAGCAAATCAACACTTCTCCTTTTAAAAGAGAAAAAAAAACAGCACAAAGAAAATATGGAGAGCAACAATGGAGGAACGAAAATGCACCTTGTTGCGGCACCTTCCACTCACAATTGCCGTCGGGAAATACCGAGACACATCCCTTACCGCATCTCTCATCTGAACCCAAAAAACGTCATATATCATAATGCAATCAATAACAAAACTCATATCATCAGAACCATATCCACAAACAAGTCACGAACCTCATCGGACATGAAAGCGCGGTCGGGATCATCGACGATAGGCGAAAGCGTGCCATCATAATCAAGAAACATCACGACCTGTTTCCCCTTCGACGCTCTCGTGATCTCATCGAACATGCTCAGCGCCGATGGGTGGCTCATCTGCATTCAATAAAATAAACCCCTTAAACAGTAAGAAAAATCGAAACCCACATCGCAAAAAGAGAGCGGAAACCCTTAAATCGGTCACCATCCAGGTCGAATGCTCGTTCTGCTCGGCGATGGATGGCGGGACGCCAATAGTCTCCGCCGACTTGTGCGTCGGTGAAGAGGCTTTCATGGTTTCGATCCATACATTGATCCTACCATTACCGTCGTCTTCAGCAAGATCGAGCTGACGTAGGCACTTTCGTCTGATGCCGAATCCGCCCGCTCCGGCGGCGGCGCCGCCGATCTTCCCGGGGGGCGGCGCCGCCGATCTTCGGCGGCAGATAGGGAAATATCGGCGTTGGATTGGACACGGCGGCCACCGCCATGCTCATCGATTCCGGCACCACCACATTCTGGTTCGTCATCTGCGATCGAAAGAAAGAGTTTCGGGGAAGGGGAGGGGGAGGCTATTCTGGTTTGGCTAGCTTCTCAATTCTGGTGCAAGCTGAGGAGGGGGAAGAGGTGTACTCTTATAGTTGGTTGGGGACGAGAATCCACGTTAGCGGGTCCCACCCGGAGCCCGAAATCCGGTGGGGCCGGAGAAAGAGTGAATTGGGCCCACAAGCCGTTTTCCCCGACGAAAAGACCGGTGAGCGTGCCAGCTGGATCTGTCGCACGTGCCGACATTGGAGTCCCTCGTGTGGCTGATACGTGTTGTGAGTAGGGGTCCCCACGCGTCCGTGTTAACTGATTTTTTTATTTTTCTTTAAGAATTTTTTTTTTTTGCCCGTTTTGCTTCCTATACGGAATGCTGCTCGGCTGCTGGAAACCATTTAGCAAATTAAATGGAAATTTAAGTCCAAAAAGCGCACGAAATTTTTTTACTCTTTCATCGAAATTTTATAAATTTAAAATTATTAAAATATAAAATATAGCAGAATTTACATATCTAGTCCGTAAGAACTTAGTATTTAAATATTTCATAACTAAATTTTATTATTTATATGGACCATTTTTTAGAGGGGTGACCGAAAACATAAATATTTTCTTACTAAACACCCAAATTTCAATGTGTGTAGTAGCCACCTGAAGTATACCGAGGCATCAAGTTAGCCACCTTTACTTACGATATTCCCTACCAACTCTTCTTTGTGGCTCGACCTTAACGCTATATTGTCCCGTCACCACCCTCCATCGATGTCGTGTAATGTATAATCAGATCTCACATTTGTCGCCCTTTGTTCGATATTTCCTTCTTCTGATACAAAAAAAATATTGGGTGTGGATGCCGCACCCACTGACATGGAGCGATGAGGCGGAGGAAAAAAAACACAACCCCCGGTGAATTGTATTCATTGTCCTCTGATGCCCCTCTTCTACCAGTGACCCTATTCAAACTTCATTCCTCTTCTTGCTGTGGGTTCTACATGCTCCCCACATTCCTCCACCCAAAAGTACTATTATGGTCATTTTTCTCTCTATTTAGCCTTCCTTGCCCCCCTCCCAACATCTTAGTTGCATGTTTTCTATGATTTATTTAAAGGAATTGTTGTATACTGCCTTACTAATATTTACCTTTAAAGTTTGGGACTTTTACAGGAGTGTCATCTAAAATAAATGCATTTTTTTATAATATTTTTTCAGCTAGTTAGGATACATATTGTACAATTTTAACTTGAGTGTAATCATTCTTGTCATTGTTAAAGTTGTTTCTAATGCTACCATCGACACAGTGATTTCGAGAAACAAATTATTTTGTTTCATCAATCATGAGTTCATGTCAATCATCTAACACTGGTCACGTCTTTTGAAGTAGCGAAGTTTATTGTAGATGCAATCAACAATGTATTTTTATACATATTTGTTGGCATCTATTTTTGATGTGACATATACATGACTATTTTCTCGGTTCTTTTTGAAGACACAGAGTCTCCAACTTGTTTATTTATTTATCGTTCTATAATTTTCTTATTTGAATAAATCTCCCTCCTGAATCAAATCAATGATTTAAAGAAAATGGCAATCAAAAAGAATTATATGCGACAACAAATAGGCAAAAAAATAAAAAAGTTGGCATCACAAGTTAAGGTTTTGTATTTCTTTCTATTCCCTTCTTCAGCTTAATCATGATACTATATAGACTTGGAATAATCATGAGCATCATTATCATCTCTAAGAAAAAAGCCCTGAATCTCATTTAAATTTAGGTTACACCTACATTAGCATAAGCTACGTACAAAAAATATAACTTTATAGATTATGATTAGTAAGTAATAATAATAATAATTTTGATATTAGTTCAAGCTCATCAAAGGTACTACTCAAGGGTGGAATAAACCCCTTCTAGTCGCCAATACCTCATGAAAAGTTGGCATCTAGACAAGCAATAAAACTTATTTTGCTTCTACATTCAATTAGAAGAGTATGTACATAATATGTTTAAATCATTTCATTTTTAGAATCAAAGATAATCATTGATGTCATCACCATCTATCAAAATATCATTACAGTGTACAACATTTGGCTAGGTGAGTCACATGCGCCAATGATAGTATAACACAACAAAAAAGCCAAAAAATGTACCCCACAACTCAACTTAATGGTTTGGAGTAATGCCAAATCACACTCCAGAGAAAACTACAACACCTACAATAATGTTTTGAGCTTCTCTCGTATCTTAATTTTACTGTTTTGAATAATTAATACTTCTTTTTAATTTTCTTTGTTTTTATGAATCCACAACCAAAGCTATGCTGCAATAAGTGCTTAGCCAAAGATTGAGTGTCAACACATCAGCAAAATATTTTTTAGTTTCATGGGTAAGACAACATTAGCATAATTGGGAGCTCTCTTTTTTCTTTCTCACTTTATTAATTAGAGTTATGATTGCACTTTTTTTTATGACAAAAGAATAAATTTTAATCATTTTTTCTTAAATATGATTAAAGTTTACATCTTTATGCAAATTTATCGTTTTAATACTTTTTTTAGAATACATATTTATTTATGATTTGAAGTAAATTTGATATGTCATCAATAAATACATCTTCCAACATGAATCTTAAGGCATGACACGGATTTTGAAACGATCTTTTGAGCAAAATATATTCAAACTTTAATCAAAGGTCATTCAGAGCTCAAATTTCAACAAACTTATAGTTAAAATGAATAGCTCGACGAGGCGGACCCAATGTTGTCAAAATCAGTTCAATCCGAGTCAAATCAATTTAGATCAAGCTGTTAAACCACTTTTAGAAGCTATCCAAGCATATTTTGAAAGTCAATTGAATGTCGAAGCTGACGAGTTTATAGTTGAGTCAAGCGGCTCGACAAGATGAATCCAATGAGCCCAATATCGCTCAATTTTGATATTGTTAAGATACTCAAATGATCATCAAACGTGGTCTATCACCACAAATCTCCTTCAACCCCCGTTGACGACGTCGATCACCGCCAACCAATTAGAACACGGCCGACCATATGCCGCCAATTTCAACACATCGACGTTGTAACTTAGAAAGTTAATAACACTTTTCCGCCTGCGGGATAACTGGTTGCATTTGTAATCATTTTTTTATAGTGGAACTCTTCAGCTGGAAAGACCTATTGGTTTTTTTCTTTTTCAGGTTTTTCACGTAAAAATTTCTCGTGTCATTTTCAATTATTTTCTTTCATCTGAGTGTGTGTCGAATCCTTCGCAATGGTAAGATGATAATTTATTACTCTACCACAGGGAATCTTTTAGAGCACATCAAAATTATAAGGAGATTTACATACATTTCACATTATTTTATATATTTACATATCTAAAATATAATTTTTGATATTTAGATTCATATTATTATTGTTATCTAATTTTAAAATGTGAAATATATTTTTTCATGCCTAACTTTTTATGTGATTATTACACTATTAAAGTACATAAATATAAATATCAAACTTTAAAATATCAAACTTTTAATACGTAAATTCATAAGAATTGCATGAACTCTATGTAAATAAATTTCCACATTTTAATATTGATGAAAAAAATGAAAACCGAAAATATAATTTTAATATACAGTGAAATAAGGATTTTTAAAGAGTTCATCCTTACTTATGGGACAATACGACCAAAATCAGTACCTCTACAAACAATTAATTGTATGGTCACAAGCACTCTAAATTTTTAAGAAATAATCTTTTTTTTTAATTAATAGAGATAAAATCATTTCATTGAATAGATCATTAAAATAGCAATTAGTGAACTTATCAACATCCAACATATATATTAAAATTCATCATATATGTATATAGCATTTTAGTGTCATACTCCTATTAACATCTATTGGATTCTTAAAATAGAAATAGAAATGATTAAATTTAGATAATGGTAAATAAAATACTTTAATAAATTAATGAAAAGATAAATTAAACATCTCTTTTAATACTTGGTTGCTGAGAAAAATAGATGATGATGGTGTTGAATTGTTGAAACCCAAATACTATCTCTGAGCAATCTCTCTAAAAAAATCATTCATGAAATTGTTGTTTATCAATGGCGCCTCCTCTCACTCCCACCATGGAACCATTTGAAGCTCATTCCACTCTCATCTCTTATCATTCTGCATGCTCAAAAGGAGTCATTAAAATGCCAATACATGCAAGCAGCAAAAGTTCAGACCCACAAGAGAGGAAAACGACACACACACACTCTCTTTCTCTCTATCTCTTGGTATAAATAAGTAATTAATTTGGTTGTGGCCTTTTGGCGTTTATTGTGGGGGGTGGGCAACATTAAAGAGGATGTGGACTTGACAATTGCAGCTTTTGAGGCCATGCATGGAAAGGGAGAGTCGTTGGCAAAAGGCTGATTAGCTCCACTCTAGCTCTCCTACACAAGTTTTTTAATTTTATTTTCATATGTATATATTTACACCTAAACTTTGACATTTCACACACATAGCAATATAATTTAAAATATAAAATATATATCTTTTATCTGTGGGCGTTGCATGACAGATTGTTATGTGCAACATTGGTGGGTGTGCTCATTTTCATGGTTGTGGTGGAGTCAATGTGGCAGTCTGCATCTTTTAAAAAGGAGAGGGGGTTTTGTCTTCAGCCGGTTCAGTCTTTTTCTTTTTTAGTTGGTTTCTATGGAGGTGGTTTTCTGAGGTTTGAGCTTCAGTTGTACCTGCTCGTTTGTATCTAGAAACTTCAATTTCTTAAATTTTAATACTAATTAAAATAGGTTTTATACTAATTAGGAATATCTTCTACAGAAATTTGATTAGCTTATTTTTTTATGACAAAAAAATTGAGATTTGATTCAATTTTTTCATATTTATTCAAATAGGTTTTGCCTAACGAAGAAAATCGAGTTCAAGCTCTCTTGGGTTGAAAGTTTGGCACTGTTTGAAAATTTTAGGTTTATTAGGCCAGATAAAATAGTAAATATGCACGTAAAAATAATAATGCAATATTATTAATTGTTTAGAGATACATTTAGAGAGATAAAAGAGATTAAAAGGAAAAATAATAATAATAGCATTTTTTCTTGACCACTTTTGTAGACAATAGAGTCCTCTAGTGCAAAGTACATAAAATATATGTTTTATGTGGCTTTTTAAAGTTACTTAGCAACTTGCATTTGTCCCATTTTACATTTTTTTTCTTACTTTACTATGAATAAAAGCTTTAGTTGGCCAAGGCCTTGCATGAAGTCAGGTTGTAATCTTCAAATAAAAGATAAATAATAAAAAATTTTGCAATTAATACAATAATGAAGGAATGAAATAATATTCCACATTTAATCCAATTAGAATGTGTATATCAAGAAATATTACGTATTTAATGAGTTAAACTAAAATGAAAAATTCCTAGTCTAATTATTTTGATGATTCTTCTTTACTTTGGATCTCATTTTTCTTAATTCCATGCATCTTGCAATCATGACAATGCCTCAGCTCTTGCTCTTTAACTTTGGAACTTAAATATGCTTATGCTTCAAATAAGAATATATTAACTGATCATTAGAGAATAACTTTTATAAATTACCATAATATAAGAAGTTAAATTTAATGAATCCATTGATCCAAAATATATGGGGACCATGCAACTAGCTAGCTTACTTGCATATATGCATAATTAATGCTCACTAAACAAGTTCCTTTTTTAAGACTTGCCTAATATCTTGTTTTTTTTATTGAAAATTTTGATTTCCACAAAAGAAAAAAAAAATATTGTAGATGTTAGGAATAAAATGAAAACAATTATATGCTAGAATTTTTGGGAATAAAGTAGAGAAATGTTCCAATATAAAGAACAAATATATAGAACATAACATCACTAAATGGAACCTTTCAATATCTAATTATCATAACAATATATATCTATATATATGTACATGCATATATCTTTGTGTGTGTGTGTGCCATGGAAATGTTCATTTTTTACAAATTTATTCTCTTGGTGCTTTGTGTGGGACAAACGATCTTATTACAAAACTCATATAAAAATATTTATAATTTTATAAAGTTGCTCATATATTCAGGAGATCATTTTTTTATTGTATCATGCAAAATGATGATTATTCAATATATTTTCATGTGTGTGTGTGTGTGTGTGATGGTTCAGTAGAGTGACAAATGTCATGCAGATGATGGTTCAGTAGAGTGATAGAGTGACAAATGTCATGCAGATAAAAAATATAAAAACATAATGATACTTTCATATTGTCACTTATTAAGCTCACTTGCATAAATTTTGCATGGGAGGATCCTCCAGATGCAAATTGCTCTTGGTGGTTGAGGTCCCAATTCAGTCGGCAGTCATGATCAGCATTATGATTTAAGTGAAATCTTCTCCACCGTTCATCACTAACATAGAATTAGAAAATTAATAATATTCCTTGTCCACTATACTTAAGGGACAAATCATAGCGAGAAAGGTGCAAAACATACAAGTTTGCGAACAAAATTGTGCAAAAATAAAATCTCACACTTTATTCTCTCTTTTTATAATTTTAAAAATGTATTAATTTCATGATTTTTTAAGTGAAAATGGGCACATAAACCTTTTGGAACAAATCATTAATCTGTTATAAACAGTGAAACTTTATAATATTGTACAATATTGTAGCAATTAATGCCTACCAATAGCATGTGTTAAATGTTCATGCAAGTTGCCAGCTTATTTAATTCAATTTGCTGTTACTGTTTTACTTTAATCATAATGTGATCAAGCATGCCTTTTATTATTAATATCTAGGTGCAAAACCACAGGAGTAGCTATGAAACTGTTCTTATCATGTGTAATAGCATAAGAGCCCTTATTCTCTACCCATTCAGCGTTTAATTAGCTCATATATTTGAATTAAGTATGTGTGTGTGTGCGTGCGCGCGCTTGTTAGTGGCGGGGTCACTGTAAATCATCTCAGGTCAAAAGTTTGATCCCACCGTGGCGTGAGGGCTCTGGAATTTTAAGCTTATGGCTCGGGCTCTCATCATGGGGTAAAAAAACGCAAGAGAAATCGATATTTGAGTCTCTGTCAAATATTTATTTCCTTATGAAAAAAATACACACACACTCACAGTGGAGTATTGAATTATTGTCTTAGTGTTGCATGAGAATCCAACAAATATTTAGGTAATAAAATAGATAGATAGAAACAACAGATATTTTTACGTGGAAAGCCCAAAAAAAAAAAAATCATGGGGTATAGCCTAGTTAAAATTTTCTACTATGAGTTAGTGATACACATACAACCTTTTCTCACACGGTTGGAAAATAGTTACACAGTTTCTTGAGTAACAATGTTTGTGCACAGAAGAGCTCGTTGCTCCACAAGCAGCCAGTAATTGCTTGAGTTTCAATAAATCTCTTTGTGATTGGCACGACATTCGGGATCATGTACTGTTCATAGTTTACTTTGTTACTCTATTAAATTGGTTGTTGTTTTTACATAAGTACCACAATTCTTGTGTATTTTATCATTTCGAAAAGAACACCATCAGTGTCTTTATAAATGTGTAAAATTTTGGTTTTCAAGCATAAATTTATGGATGACACCATATGTTATAAATATAAATATCAAACATTAGAAGTTAGATATGTAAACTTCATGTATATATCAATGAAAGCATGGTAGTTTGGAGACATTATTGCTTGGTAGACGAAAAGATAAAAAGACAAATTAGAAGACGACAAGTGTAAGCACCATGGCTTGCTGCAAATCAGAAAATGATAAATGGATACAGAAATAACAATTAATTAAGAGGATGTGATGATGTAAAAAGTGATGAAGTTAAGAGGATTGGATGTTGTAAAAGGAGATGAAGGTGAAAGCGTGCAGCTTCCTAATCATTCTTATATATAAAGTTATGCAGCTGACTAGGCGTGAACGAAGCTGATTGCGGGATTTGAGATTGATACAGACAGCAAAAGCAAGATTTAGAAAAATATTGAAGATATTTAAGGTGCTTTATGTCAGTTCTAATATTATAGTTATAGCTAGGTTTAGCTAATGATGAGTGGTCTTTAGTGTGAATCTAATTATAATTTATTAAATCTACGTAAATTATACATGATTTCTTTTTGTCATGCAAAACTCTTATGCCGTTTTTCAATTTTGACAATATGATTAGCTTTAACTCCACAAATTACATCATCATCTGCATCACCATTTTTCTGTATAACAAACACATTATCTTCTAATAATTTTAGATTAACTTTATATCATATAATCATATACCTGTTCCTTGTTCTAGTGCATAAATTTTATGCTTTTATGTTTTAATATTTTTAGATTATTCTAAAAAATTGTTTTAGTGAATGTATTATGAATAAGCATTAGGCATCTACCAAAAACTATATACGAAAGCATATCAATTGAAACATCTTTTGTTAGTATGTTCATAATGAATATGAAAATATATGAATTCAATGTTGATTTTTAATATAAATAAATTGCAATTATAAAAATGTAGCCAATTTATTAAACACTTTTAATTAGTGTTTTATCATATATATCTTTAATAACATCCACATGCCCCTTGATAGACATATTTTTATCTTAATTTGCACCAATTTAGTTCTTATACTGCGTGATATATGCATTCTTAAGATCAACCAAATCATATAAATATCTTTTTTTTTATATTTTCCATGCACTTCTCGATTAATTATCTAAATATAAAATTACTTTCATAAAGCATATTTAGGGCATGAAACTAAACTCTTTAAGTGAAAATATTTCTAAGCATATGTTCTGCTACTCTTTCCTATAACTTTATTAGACAACTTATAAGTTTGATTCTTAAAAGATTAGCATAAAAACTATGTCTACCATTAAATTTAAGTATCAAAACATTTTATCTTCTTAAATCATGTGACATTTAGTATTTAATATTCTAATATGAAATGTTTTATTATCTTATAAACTATTAAAATATTCCTCACAACTTTCTAAATCTCAACACTTTTGTATTTACCTAAAACCCTACTTTTAAGAATCTTCTTTAAGGCTAGCTTCATTTAATTTTTTTATCAATCTATAATATATTTCATTATATTATTTGTAAATTTGTAATTCAATTTTTTTTTTCATTAGAACCCTTATTTAAGTAATTTATGAAATTTAAACTTCTATTTTTTAAAATTATCTAAATTTTTTTTCAAGAAACAACTAGCTTCACTTCTAATATATTTAATTTGATTAAATCATTAATCACTTATATCATGTTTTAGCCATTCTTTATAATATTTTTCATCCATTTTAATGTTAAATGTATCATATCAATCATCAAAAGTTAAAGCTTTTGCTTTGCTCGTTATACTTTTTACCAAAATTAATTCTAATTTTTTAAACCCTCAATTAAAATTATTTTTTTCAAACTTTTAAAATGCATTGCATTTTACTTCAATGATCATTTTGTATTTCTCACCTAATCACTAAATAATCATTGTGAACAATAAATATTGTAAGGAATAAAAAAAAGCTTTGGAATACTCTATTAAGCAGCTATACTAACAATATAATAGAGAAAGAGAATAAAACCAACATAAGAATGCATATATTAAAATGGTTCAACTTAGTAAATTTATATATATGTACTAATGAGATTAATAAGAATGCAAGGGGTTCTCTTTCTCTCTCTCTCTCTCTCTCTTTATTATATATATATATATAGCTTTAATTTG